AGGCCCCTCCCTCCCCCTTCTGTGACACCTGTCCCTCCCTCGGGCCGGCCTCCGCGGCTTCAGCACCCAAGTCCTCCCCCACTGGCGTCCGAGCCTTGAGCGCGCTCCCGCGGCACACCTGAGGCTGTGTTCCGGGTCGCAGGTGCAGGGCTCCTGGCAGCTGAGGCCGTAGAGGCCGTCGGGGCAGAGGCGCTCGGTGCAGCGGTCGCCGGTGAAGCCGTGTTCGCACAGACACGCGCCGTTGGCCGGGAAGCAGCGCGCGCCCTGGGCGCAGTCGCACGTCTCGGCACAGTCCTGGCCGAAGCGGCCCACGGGGCACTCCTCACGGCACCTGGGGGCCTGCCCAGTGAGCCTGGCGGCGCCCGTCCCCTCGCCGCTCCCGCCCTCGCCAAAGCCACTCACCGATCCCCCGTGTAGCCCGGAGCACAGCGACACTGGCCAGTGAATCGGTCACACAGGCCACCATTGTGACAGTGGCACTCTTGGGAGCAGTTAGGTCCGTGGAAGCCCTCTGGGCAGGGCAGGGAGCAGATGGTGCCCTGGAGAGGTGGAAGATGGACAGCCCCTCCCCATGGGCACAGGACCCCTTGATACCCCCATACCTCAAACCCCTGCAGGGTCCACAGAGCCCACCCCCTTCACACACATCCTCCTCCCAGCCCCGCAGAGAAGCACCCCATCGGCTCAGGCCCCACCCTTCCTACCATCCAACCAGGTGGGCAGCTGCAGGAGTCCTGGGAGGCCTGGTAGACACCCCCATTGTGGCAGGGATAGGTGCTGGAGCAGAAGCCAACGGTGCCCGGGAGACAGGACATCTCACAGCTGCTGGGCAAAACGGCGAGGTCAGGGTGGGCGCCAGCAGCACCAGCCGCCCCTTTGCCTCCAAGGGCTGGCCCCCTGCCCCCTGGCTCCCTGAGGTCAAGGAGCAAATCCTGACCTCAGAGCTCAGTGTGGCATCCAGTTGTCGGGTGCCACCCGCCTTCCCTGTCGGGGACGGGAGGAGTCAGAAAGGAAAGGTTTCCAGGACCAGACACGGTGGGGACAGCCAGCACCCCAGATGGGGGTGTGCCCCTTCCACTCTGCTCCTGCTGTTGCAGGGGGAGGGGCTGCAACTGCCTGCCAGTTTTTCTGCCCCAGAGGGCTCCCCTCTGGAGCTGCTCTGTGAGGCCCGGTGCATCTCTACCTAGTGCGCCTCCCCCCGCTTGGCCCCGCACCTCCTTTCGACAGGCTTCTCTGGGACCGTGTCAGCCCCACTTTGCGACGCCCGCCCACACACGTGCAGGTTCATCTGCACAGCGAGCCTTCCGGGAGCATGATACTGTTGCCATGTGAGACAGGGAACAGCTCACGACGACTCCGCGATTGGCTCAGGGTTGCTCAACTCGCCAGGGGCAGAGCTGGGACGAGGACCTCGGCCTCTCCGTTCTGTCCCATTTGGGACCAAGTCCGAGTCCCCTCCTATCCCCACGTGTGCCCATGTGGTCCTGTGTCTGCGACCCCGTTATGCACCTGGGCCCCATTCTCCCTGGGGGGCAGAAGCAGGCTCCGGTCCGGGGGTCACAGGGCGCTCCGTGGCACTGGCAGGGTAACTGACAGGCAGGACCGTACTGGCCGGAGGGGCAGGGCTGGAGGCAGCGTGGGGGCTGCAGGCCGGAGGGGCAGAAGCAGGCTCCACTCTTGGGGTCACAGGAGCTGCTGTTCCCGCAGTGGCAGGGCTTGTCACACTGAGGCCCCCACATGCCTGGGGCACATGCTGCAGGATGAGGAGGGGAGAAGGGGGTCACCGGGGGTCTCCCCCTCCCTAACGTCCACTCAGTCCCCGGCTCTGTGTCCCAGCCCGCCCCCCACACCCGTGCCCCGTGCCACACCTCAGAAAAGGCAGCTGGCCGCTGTGGGGCTCTGGGGCGCCTGTCCTAGGGGACTAAGCACCCGTGCGCGGTCAGGAGGCTGCAGCCCCAGTCCCGCGCCCCCGCAGCCGCCCGGCACTCACCACTGGAGCAGTCGCCGCCCCGCCAGCCCTGCGCACACTGGCACCGATCGGGAGCCACACAGTGGCCGTGGACGCACTCCTGGACGCAGAGCGCTGGGCAGAGATGGAGGGAGTGAGGGACGCCTCCCCTGCCCCCACCCACCTTTCCTCCTCCGAAGCCGGACCCTGGGGGCCTGGCCCTCCCGGAGCAGCACTTCTGCCTCGGAGAAGCGGCCACAGAAGACAGGGCCAGCAACTCAGGCCAGAACTTGACAAAGGCTCAGATTCCAGGCTCCCCAGCCCCGCAGTGTGACTTCTCCAAGCACCAGGTTGGGAAAACAGAGAGGGGCTCCTCGGGCGGGACCAGACTTGGCTGTGTGCAGAGAGCGGGCGGCCGGCGGGGAGTGGGTCGGGCTGGGTAGGAGTCTCTATGGGATGAGGGAAGGGGGAGAGAGGCAGAGCAGACTCCCGTCGGGGGTTTCGGGGCATGGGGGGGCCGGGCAGGAGAGCCTGGGCAGTGACAAGTCAAAGACAGACAGCAACAGAGAGACAGGGATGGGAAGAGACAGAGACTCAGTGACAGAGAGACACGAAGGCAGCCCCGAGACAGACAGACAGAGACAGAGATGCTCACACACAGGGAGAGAAGCGGAGGGAGAAACATGGGGTCAGCCAGGACAGAGGAGGCTAGTGGCAGCTGCTGGGGGAGGGGGCGAGGACAAGCCCGGAGGGGGCAGGGAAGCGGGAGCTGGGCCCTCCCTCTCCCCCTCCCTCTCCCCCTCCCTGGCCCCACCCAGACTCACGGACACAGGTGCCCCGGCTCTCGTAGAAGCCCACACAGCACCGCAGGCGCTTGCGGTGCTCTGTCCTCACCACCTGGCGGTACACCGGCCTGTAGACGACCCTAGGGGACCCCGAAGGTGGCCCTCAGTGCCCCCTGCTGAGGCCGGCCACCCCCACCACCGTGTGGCACCACCCTGTGGCACTGGGGAATCCGGGCAAGGCTCACCACTCCAGGCGGGGTGGGGGGCACAAAAGGAGCATTCCCTCCCTGGCCCCCCAACCCCCCCCCCCACACACACACGCACACAGGCCCACACAAGCCCCCCCACCCCTTGAGTGCTTCCTCGGCACTCCAACGTTTCCGAGAAGAGAATGAGGCTGTGGAGGCCCAGGGCCCGTTGAGGCAGCACGCAGCCCACGGCGGGGGGGACGGGTGGGCACTCACGTGGGCTGGGGGCAGCTGTGGGGGCTCTCCCAGGGCCGGTCGCAGGGCTCCGAGGGGAGCAGGCTGAAGGGGCGGGAGTGGGACTCCTTGGTGGTGGTGGTGAAGCTGCAGGACAGGGATGGGGCCAGGGCTCAGTGTGGGGGGGAGGCCTGGCTGCCACAGGGCACTCTGGAAGCAGAGGTATGAGGGCTTGGCCATGCTGAGGAATGCTGCCCCAACATGGGGGTTTGCTCCCCCAAGCCTAGGAGGAATGCCTATCCTGGCCCCCTCCATTTGGAGGGGTCCTCCCAGAGTTGGAATATTCCTGGGACACCCCCCATCATTGCCCCCTCCTCGCCCTATTGGACCAGAGCATTCCATTTCTCCCTCCTCCTCCTCCCTACAGGGGAGATTGAGCTAGAATTGATTGCTGGGCCCAGCTGATGGAGATGGGTGAAGCATTTCTGGCCAAACCCCGACCTGGGCCTCGTTCCCCAACCCTGTCCCCTTTGCTCCCCCGGGACCAGGCCCCCTGCTTGCTCCATAGTGAATGGCTCCCACCCTGTGCTCTGTCCTGCAGCCAGCTTCCCACAGGGACCAGGGGACAGGGATGAGGAAGGGACAGGGTCAGAGGTAGCCCATGCAGGGGAGGAGAGAGAGCAGGGGCAGAATCAGGAGGGATGGGAGGGGGGGCTGGGGAGAGGCAGGGAGGCAGGGAAGGAGAGGGAGAGGAGACCCCATAGACAGTAGGGGAGCTGGGGAAGCAGCAAGGGCCCCTTACCTTTCCCAGAAGCTGCAGGTGTTGGGGTCGTTGGGGTTGAGGGCTCCAGCCAGCCCCAGGCCCAGGGCCAGAAGGAGGGAGCACAGAGGGGGCAGCATTGCGAGGCCAGGCACTGGGGCAGGTGACGGGCCACCGAGTATCTGCAGGGACCAGAAGGGGGTGTGCAGAATACCCGAGGCTGCCGTCGTGGGAGGGCTCTGCTCCCCAAGGTCGCATCCCTGACCAGGTGGCTGTTCCCTCTGCCTGGCCGTCCTCCCTCCGTTCTTCTGAGTCCTCACCTCTTAAAGTCTCCCCGAAGTGACACCTCTCCTTCTCTGCAGACTGCCCCCACCCCTCCCAGCACCATTCTCTCACACAGGGCCCAGGGCCTCCAGAGGCGGGGCTCCTGCCCTGGATCTCTGAGCCCCGGCCAGCCCCTGCCCAGGGCACAGGGACGCTGGTGTGGAGGTGGGAAGCTGGAGCCAGTGGGGAAGTCATGCGGGAGGCCCACCAGGGCTCCGCTGGAGGAAGAATTTCCAGGCACAGCAGCCTGTCATGGAACCGGCCACTCGAAGGGGAGCTTCCTGTCACTGCATGCATGCAGGCGGAGGCCAAAACCCCTCTGATGCAGCTGGGGGCCGGCGGCTAAGAGGGCTGGGAGTAGGGCCGGTCCGGGTGACCTTGAAGGAGGCCCCTCCTAACCACTGGTGTCTGGTGCATGTCCATGGGCTTCCGGGAGCCGACAGTGCCCGGCCAGAGAGGACACATTAGGAGCCTGAAATCACGCTCGCTCGGGGGATTATTGACACCAGGGACACTGCCAAACACCACAAACCAGGGACAACCCCATCCCCACCCCACCAGCAGCGCACCACTGCCCCCAAGTCCCAGGGCTACGGCCCCCAGGCCGGCCTCAGATGTAAGCAGCCCCCAGCTCCCTCCGACCACCGCCTCAGCCATCTGAAAGCAGCTCCTCTCAGCCTCTTCCTCCGCCCTGGCCTCGCCCAGGCGGGTGGGGAGCCGGTCAGGACCTCAGCAGGGCTCAGGAGGGGCTGAGCTCCTGCGTACCCACCCCCGCAGTACGAGTCAGATTGTGTTCCATGCTCCTAAAACTTGCCCTGCCTCCCGGCTCCCTGCCTCCCTGAGGCGCCCACATCTGCTTATAATTTTCCCTGAGAAGAGAGAAAGGTCGCGGTTGCTGGCCCCTTCCCCCCCTGAGTATCTCTGGAATGCCTGCTGCCTGGCCCCACCCCACGCCCCCCACCCACACACTCCCAGGGTCCCCCAGCCGCTCTCAGCCCTCCAAGTCGAGGGAGAGAGATGCGCCCCGACTTAACCCCATGTCACCCTGTGCTGCCCCCCTGCGGGATGACCGGTGGCCCTGTCACAGCTCCCCCAGGGCACGCGTCCACCACTGGCCTCCTTGGTGCTCCTCCCCCACCCTCAGTCCTCGGGGCACTCACCAGGCACCCTGTGGTCTGAGAAACTCGCAGGAGCCGGGGTAGGGCCTGGGGGGCCTGGCAGTGTCCTGGGGGATCCCAGCGCTCAGGATATGGAGCCTGAAAACAGGAAATCAAGCCTGGCTGGCGTGTGCGTGTGTGGGGGAGGGCAGCAGGGAGTGGGGTCATGGGCTCCCTGCTCCCCAACCCTGAACTCAGAGGGTGGGATGCAGGGGACAGGGCCAGCGGCTTGTCTCCTGAGCTGAGCACACAGGCCCCGTCTGAAGGGGTGAGGGGGAGACTCAGCCTGTCCTCAGAGAGCCAGGCCTCAGTCATGAATGTCTGTCCCGGGGGGCAAACCCCCCACCGCAACCTCTGCATCCCCCCCATCCCCCTCCCAAACAGACTTGGCTCCTTTTGCCACCATCCCCAAACTATCCCCTCCACCCCTGCCCTGCACGGGCCACCTTCCCAGGTCCAGGCCTGCCTCCAGGGCCCACCTTGTGGGCTCCCAGGTGACCTCGTCCCCGCGGGGCCTCCCTTGGCTGCGCCCTGGCAGGATCCTGAGCCTTCACACACCTCCCACCTCCACCCTGTGTTCACACTGCCCTCTGCCTGGGCCCTCAGCTGTCATCAGACTGGGGCTCGGTCTGAAGGGATCCAGATCCAGATCGCCACCCTGCACCCCCCTCTCCTGGACCCATGTCCCCAGAGCGTGAGGCTGTGGGGGGCACACACCCCACAGCAGGAAGGACCTGAGACAGGGCCAGGGGCCTTCACATCAGCCCCTCCCACCAGTCACTGCCCCCCAAACCAACGTCTAGAGGAAATGGTTCACCTGGGGGCTTCAGGAGGTGGGCAGGGGAGCGTTAGGAGGGCTCCAACCCCCATCCCAGGGTTGACCTTGATAACGGGTGATCAGGGGCTGGAGGGGTGGGGAGATTCTCCTTTCCCTAAGGGCCTCGGGCTCCCAGAGTACACAGGGGGCCCAGTGGGTCAGGAGCAGGGCTGGAAGTGGGGTCGGTGAGACCAGTGGGTGGTCCGCAGGGAGGGGAGAGGTGGAGAGGTGGGATGAGGATCCCGGCAGGGAGGGGCAGTGTTTGGCCTGGCCGACCTCAGCCCCTGAGGAGGGGGACCCCAGGCCAGACCAGGAGCCCAGAGCCCCAGCCTGGCCCCCCAGCTTGTCTCCATCTGAGACTTTGTCCCCTACGGGCTGGGGACCCTGAGGCCCTGGTCCTGTCCCTCCCCAACACCCCCAGGCCCACCAGCACCGGGGCCCACATGCCTACACTCCCCCCCCACCCCGGTTTTAAATCAGCAGCTCTGGCTCCCAATCCGCACTCACAGAGGGCGCCCCAATCCCCCTCACCGTAGGCTCCTGCCTGACACCTTCCCTTCCAAGAACGCTCAGGTGGCCCAGGCATCCTTTACTGTGTGGAGGAAGGTGGGGAGCCGCGCCATTTCCCAGGTCTCATGTCAGGCTGCCCTCGGTCCCCCACAGGAGGCAGCAGTGTTTGACAGGTGAGAGCACTGGCAGGAGTAAGCACCCTGCCCCGGGCCACAGAGCCCGCCGGGATCCAAACCCAGACTGCTGGCACGAGGTCCCGGTGGTTCCCATCAATGCAGCCCAGGCGGGGAATCCCAGGGGCTTTGCATCTCTCTGTAACAGTCTCAGTTATGCAGAGGGGGAGCCGGAAGGGGGCGGACAGGAGAAGGGGGGGCCGCCACAGAACACACCAGAGGCGTGGGAACGGGGATATGTTTGCAGTCAAGAATGAGTGGAGCTTCTCTCCTCCACCTCGAGATGCAAGGCAGCTGGGCCCCTGGCCAGGCCCCGAGTCGCCAGGCCGGAGTGGAGCACGGCCTCCCCCAGCCCTGCCCCGGGGGCCTCCAGGCCCACACGCAGCTGGCCCCAGCCCTTCTTCCGCTCAGCCTGATTCCCTTCGGTGGGGAGCCCCTGTTCTTCCGCGGCCCCAGCCCCCTTAGCAGGAGGGAAAAGAGTCTGGGTCTTCGGGAGGGGGCAGAGCTCCTGGTGGACAGGAGGTGATCATCGTTTTGGAAGGAGGCAGAGAGCAGGAGGGCCTTCCCCGCCGGCTCCCCTCCCCAACTCTTCTCTGGGAGGGGGACAGCGGAGGACAGCCTCTGAGCTGGGCAACGAATCACAGTTCTCAGCCCCCCTCTGTAAAAGGGGGTGCTAGCAGCAGAGCTGTCCCGCACATCAATACAGGAGTTAATACAGATGAAGAGCTGCGAGATCCCTAACATGCTCAATTCACGTTCGCGTCTCCCCACCTCCCGCACCCTGTCCCCATCCCCACTGCCCTTGGCACTGTCATACCCTTTGGGTATTAATTCCAAGAAAAGCTGTGTCTTGGTTTTTTCTGAAGAACCCCCAGGATGATCCGGGAATGGGGCCTTAGCTGCTGACACAGAGGAGGGAAATGGGGGTGGGAGGGGGCCAGCCCCCCCACAAAACCTGATCCCTCAGAATGATGGGCTGCCCGCCAGGTACATCTTCAAGCCAAAGCAGGTTGCTGAGACAGGACGCCTGGCTTCTGCCGCCCCCAGCCCCCAGCCTGAGCGCCAATCCCTGGCGCCCCCAGCCCCTTCTCCCATCTCTCTGTGTCCCCCTCCCGTCGCAGAGTCCAGAGGTCCTAGTACTTAACAAGCTGTGTGACCTCAGGCATGTCACCTGAGCCCTGTAAGCCTCGATTCCCCTCTGTAAAATGGGAGAGTGGCCCCCACAGCTCGCGGGGTGCAGTGGGGGTTGAACCGCTAGGGCCGGTAACCACCCTGGAGCAGAGCCTCAGACCAGAAGCTGCTCTGCAGTGTGCGGGGGCAGAGACAGAACCCCCCAAGTTCTAGGCTCTTGGCCTCTTCCTTTTGTTTTTGTTTTGTTCCTCATCAAAAACTCTCTGCTTTCTGGCAACTGGGGGACTCAGTCGGTGGAGCGTCCGACTGGGCTCAGGTCACGATCTCACAGTCGTGAGCTCGAGCCCCATGTTAGGCTCACGCTCGGCGCAGAGTCAGCCTCAGATGCTTTCTCCCTCTTCCTCTGCCCCTCTTCTCTCTCTCAAGTAAGTAAGAATAAATAAAGTCCTTAAAAAAAAAAAAACCTCTCTGCTTTCTGCCTTTTTTGTCTTCATCAGTTTCTTGGTCTGTGTCTTTCTGCCTCTCTCCTTCCTTTCCTTTTTTTTTTTTTTAATTTATTTATCTGTTTTGAGAGAGAGAGAGCAGGGCGAGGAGCAGAGGGAGAGAATCTCCAACAGACTCCATGCTGGGCACAGAGTCCGACATAGGGCTCCATCTCCTGGCCCCTGAGATCACGACCTGAGCCAAAATCAAGAGTCGACACGACCGACTGAGCCACCCAGGCGCCCCTCTTCTTCCTTTCCTCTATCACGGCTGTGCAGTGTGTTCTCTGCACAAGGGCATCCACCCTCGGTGTGCAGCAGAAGCTCACCAAGCCATGTGTCTTAGCTTAGCCACGGGGGCCTGGCCCCGGGTCTACCTCCCTTGTCTGTGTCTGTTTCTCTGTGCCCTTTCCAAGCCCATCTTGGCCATGGAGACAGGATCACTTAGTCCTCCCCACTCAGCAGTGGGACCCCGGTCTGCCGCCTCCCCACACAGGGATGCACCCCGGCCCCCGTGCCACTGAGTCTCCACGTGTCCATGCTTGCACACACAGGCACAGAGCCCCGCCTACATCCAGCCAGGCCGCCAGGCACTCCAGCCTTGTCTGCTGGATGGAGGGACAGGAAGCCTGTGTGCTGGCCAGAGGCTGGGCGGGAAGAGGGCAGGGGTGAGGGGCCGGCCTTGTGTTCTCTGTGGCTCAGGAAACAGAAGCTAGAGGGTCCTCAGTCCGACCTGTTTACTCATCAGGAAACAGGGAAACTGCGGGGATTCTGATTCACCGAACGTCTATCGCGTGCCTCCTGGAGGACGGCGCCAATGCCAGGCCCGGCCCGCCATGGCCACGGCCACGGCCTGCATGTGCCGCCGCCTGCCGCCCTCAGTCCCGGGAGGGCCACAGAGGTCTCAGGAAAGCGACTTGCCCGGGGCCAACTGGTGGTCAGCGGCAGCAGCGGGATGAGAATCGGGTTCAAAGAATAAAGCACTGGGTGGAGGGGAACCCCCAGACGACACAGGCCGGGAGGGACTCCCCTTCTGGCCCCCCGCTCCCTGCCACGCCCAGATACCCTCAGAAAGGGCCACTCCTCTCTGGTCACCGCTGCTGTCTGACGCCCTCTGTGGCTCCCCACACCACCACCACAGGAAAGGGCACCAGGAGCCAGGCCGGCCAGCGGCCCACCCTCCCAGCCCCTTCCAGGACGCCGCCCCTGGGGCCGCACACTTGCCGCATTCCTCCCGGCCTGAGTGCCGGCCTGCAGGCCCCCGTGGCCCAGAGGGGCCCTGGGCTGTTCTCCCTGGGGGCCGGCTCCAACACCTCCCCAGACCCCAGCCAAAGGGTCAGCACCCGTGTCCCTCCTCTGGGGGCATGTGGGGCCGACCTAGGCCAAGCCAGGAGTCCACAGCCCGTGGAAGCCTTGGGGTCTGCTGGCCTGGCTGGGGCCGGTGTTGGGACTGCAGGTTTGTGCTCTGGCTTCCCCAGCAGGCTGGGCACCCTCCATCCGTTCCTCTCCGAGGCCATGAGCAGGCTGGGTGCCTGCGCCATGACCATTATGCCTTTATCAAGGTTAGTCTTCCCCACTGGAACGGAGCTCTGTGGGCTCAGGGTGCTTTCCTGCCTTCCTCACCTTCCTCGCTACTGTCTCCGGCCCCGGCCAGCAGGGCATGCAGGGATGCCCGGCCCCCAGGACGTGGCCTCCCCCCCCACCTCGGCCCCTCAGGCAGCAGCACTGGGCCCTCAAACCCAGGACTGGCAAGACGCCGGAAACTGGGGGAGTTCATAGAGAGCCTCCACCCTTATAGAGTGAAAGGCGGCCCCAGACTGCCCTCCTGACCTCCAGCAGGCATTCCTCCAGCGGCCTCTGAGTTCCTAACGGATGAGCGCACAGTCCTGCAAGGCTCTGAGTCACCTGGGGAGGAGGAGGTGTGCCCTCACGGCCTGCACCCTTATCCCGGGCCTCGGGCCTGGGACGCCGCCCCCTCCCTGGCCACCCACACGCTTCCCCCGAAATCAGAGGCACTGGGCCCCTGATGCCCTATGGGGGGGTGGGAGACAGAGAGAGGGGAGGGGACCCAGGAGGCCCCATGTTGCAGAGCCCCCCACATGCCGGTTCCCTCTAGAGACCTCTGTCTTGGCTCGCGTGGGAGAGCTGTATCTCCAGCCCTCGTTAAATGTGGGCCAGATGATTTCTGCTCATTCTCTCCGCAGTCCTGAAAAGTAGGTGCTATTGTGCTTCCCATTCTATAGATAAAGAAATATCCCAGAGAAGGTAAACAATCTGCCCCACAGGTCACACAGCCAGGTGAGGGCAGAGCAGGGATGGGGACCCGGAAGCCTGTGCTAACCCTTTACATCCTCCCCCACCCCACGCCCACCCCCATCTTCCCTCTGGTCTTCGGACTCCCCACTCTCCTCTGTCTCCACCCCTTTCTGTTCTTTCCCTGGGTCGCTGCTCTGTTTTCCGAAGTCTGCCCTTTCTTCCCTCCGGCTCTTGTTTGCAATGTCACTGTCTCTGTTCTCTTATCTCTCTTTATATCTCCATCTTTGTCTTTCTCTCTCCTTCCTGGTCTCCCCTTCCTCCTGCTGGCCTCTCCGTGCCCGATTATGTGCGAGGCATGGTGCCAACACCCTCCCGAGCTAGGACTTTGGGGCTAGGACTTCGGGGCTAAGACTTCGGGGCTAGGACTTCGGGGCTAAGACTTCAGGGCTAAGACTTCGGGGCTAGGATTGGGGCTAGGACGGTGGGGCTAGGACTTCGGGGCTGAGACTTCAGGGCTAGAATGGCCGGGCCCTCCTGCGTCCAGGGAGGCTCTTTCTCAGTGTTTCCCAGGCCACGCCAAGGAGAGGCTGGAGAGCACAGCAGCGGCTGCCCTGCCAGACCCCAGCAGCCTGACCCCAGCACCCTCCCCAGCAGCTTGGGGTGGGGGGCAGGCAGACAGCAGTGCAGTGACCTCTGTCTGCCTAGAAAGCCAGTTTCCTCTTCTGGGAAAGTCTGATAGGGAATGGGGTAGGGGAGTGAAGAAAGATGTCAGCCCTGGGTTTCACATCCCAGTGAGGAGAGGGGGCCAGAGAGGTGAGCCTGGCCTCCCATCCAGCTCCTAGGCGCAGGCAAGGAGGCTGGGTAGACGTGGGGGGCTTCAGACGTGGGAGAGGCGCAGCAGGGGACCGGGGACAGGAGGGCTGCCCCCACACTGGCTCACATGCAAATGCACACAGGCACTAGAGTGTGGAGGGGTGGGCTGGGGTTCAGGGAAGAGCCCCCTGGCCGCACCATCCCCCTGCCCAGGCCCAGCTGAGAGCTGACCCCTTGCCCAGTCCTGCCTGGAGCAGACGTCTGGCCAAGCCTGGGATCGGCCTGGGAACCTCGGGCCACCACAAGCTGTTCCCATCCCTGGGGACTGGGGTCACAGCCCAGCCCCGGGAGGGGCCACTCATGCAAGGTCAGGACAGGAGATCGAGGATCCAGCACGGAGGCCAGAGATGGGTAGGGCTGAGGGGTGGCCTTATGAGAGCCCCGGCTCCTGGGGCTGGCCACCCCCACCCCAGCCTTGCCACCGCAAATGATCTGCCCCCCCCCCAAGGCTTTCTGCTGATGCCGACGCGGGAGACCTGTGGCCAACTTCTCGTGCTCAAAACTGGCAAAGCCAGGGGCGCCAAGGAGCTGACACCTGGCCCCATCCCTAGCGCTCCTGCCGGGTCAGGTCAGGTCTTAGCACCCGCAGCAGTAGCAATAGCCCTGAGCAGGCGCTGTGCTAAGAGGAGACAAGTTTTTGTTCCCCGGAGCCTCCAACAACCCCATGGGCAGGCACTATGCTCTATGAGTCCCCTCTTAGAAAGAGCGACTGAGGCTCAGAGGACCCACGGCCAGGAAGGGGCAGAGTGGAGGTTCGAACTCAAGCGGCCTTGATTCCAGAGTGGGCGCTCTCAAGGCTCCCCTCAGCCTAGTAGAGGACCTGGTACCCGGCTCTCCGGCCGCCCTCCCTCCGCGCCCCCCGCGCCACAAGTCGCTCCGGGGGCCTCGGGAAGAGGCCTCATTTGCATGCCACTTACGTGCTGTCCCCCGGAGAGGGCCACCCCAGTGCCCTCGGCCCCTCCGCTGCCCCCACCCTCACGCAGGAGAACCCCCCATCCGCAGCCCTTCCCCGGGGCAGAGGGGGCGCGGGGCGCGCGGGGGCGCGCAGTCACTCACCTGCCTCGGACCCGGGCTGTCGCTGGCCTCGGGTGGGGACCGCCCGGAGGCCAGGAGGGGACGGCGGGGC